ATCAATGAACCATATAACATAGTCTAACTCTTACTAAAGTCAGTTGGAAGAAGAGCACAAAAGTGTCGTCAGACCTACTGCCCACTCCCATAGCTGCCAGGGTCAGAGGACCCTGATTGATCCAGTACCATTGTAGTTTTCCCACAATAATAATAATAATAAGTAAAAAATTTGCTGTCTCACGACTGCATCACTTTTTTGACGAATCACTATAGAGCTTCGAAGGACTTTTACCCTAATTGGGTTCAAGTTTCCAATTTTTGACCCCTTCATATTCTTTCATCACTGCAAAATGCTGCCTCCCCCACCACAGTGGCTTGAGAAGCAATTCACTTGCATCTCATCTAAAATGACAACTTCTCTTCACGTGGCATGGTATTGAGTGGGTCTCCGCTGTCACAGGGGTTAAATGAAGCAACCTTACGCAAAGCAGCCAGTGTGTTGTTTGCTAAGTGTCTAAATGTCACCCTTCTATATGGTTCATGGTTACATTCTTGACTGATTGTGTTGCAGATATATCTAATGTGGCAATTTCTGTACAGCAACGACTGAACAATTGTAGAAAAGATCATCCGAATCCAACAAAACCACTCTCCCTTTACACTTCCACATCTCCACAGAGTAAAAGGAGGCAAAGCAAATCCGTGAAAGTTGCCTCCGAAGATTTGAAAGGCATCAATCAGGCATTTACATCTTGTCAGATTTCACACACAAAGTACCACAGTGCTTGACAGTCCTCTGAACAAGCTAACCATCCGTGTAGCCTGGTAGCATCTGCGCTCTACTTCTCCTGCTCCTACAGCTCGATATAATGAGCTGGGGATGAAGATGGGTGCTACTCCAGAGCGGGTCAGGACATTAGCCTAAATGTGTCACCAACCTTAGCCAGCCTTGAGCTTGACTGGCTACATTAAGTATTCAACAAGTCAACCTCTTCTTATTCTGGCCAACAGAACACTCTTAAAGCGTCACAACCCCAAAAAGCAGTCTTCCAGCTCTCCGTGTCTCTCTTTCTCGCTGCCATGCTCTTTGGATTTGCCCACAAAGTAGATGTATCTCATTCCAACCGCCACCTTAAATCTGAGCCTTGATAAATTGTACTCCAGTACGGATGTCGGCGGTGATCGGGGTGTAAAGGAGGTTGACTTTGGAATACTTTTTTCTGCGGGAGAGTCCTCCTGCCCCCCCCCGCCCCCCCGCTTCTTCTTCTTCTACTCTTAAAAGGTGTAATGTCTGGTGATATTGGGGATCACTTGCAGTCAAAATGTGCAGTGTAGCACCTTAGCTATCGAGTGGTCTTAGTCTGAAGCACAAAACATTTTACAAACTGGTATGTATCATAAATAGTACCAGAAGCGTTAGATTGACAGCAAAGGTTAAATTATTCCAGAAAACCAAACCCTGTATTTCTGTTAATAAATAAAAATCTGAAAAAATGAAATATTTCAGTAGAAAATGTGTATTGTGCCATAAATCAGCTTTCCAAGAGACAATGGACCAAAAGCTTTGAAGTACCCTATTCATATTTTATAACAGTATTTCTGTTTAGTATGACATTTGTTATTAAAATACACAAATTTATAACATAGACATTCATGATTTACAAAATAAATGTGTAATTCACTTCAATAACTTCATAAAAGTATATTCATATGAATAAATAATACACTACTGCTGTTAGCTTCATGGAACAGCAAACCAATCTCAGACATGTAAGCAAAACCAAAACATTGGTGCTTATTTAATTTTTTTCCCCTCTCTAGTTCATGCTGGCGTTCCCTCTGAATTAAGCATCTGCCTTGTATAAATAAATGGCATTTTTAAAATGTTTAATTTATTGGACATACTGTATGTTAAAGGAAAATTAAAAACCTGTACACAGTTTCTTCTGGTTTGAACAGAGCACAGTATGTGTCAGCAGGGTCCAACATGCACAGGTATAAAGCTCAAAACCATTGTGTCCCAAATGGTAAAAAATATCCATGACGCAGCTGGAGTGGCAACCCAGTCCAGAGTTTTAGACGATGTATGTGGGGAGTTCTGTGGAGAATTTCACATGTACATGAGGTTTCATACATCCTGGGGGCAGACAGGACAGGGAAAGAATAAGGTATCAGAGGATATTTTGTACAAGGAGCTGAGTAAGTATAAAAAAATGCAGCTCGTAGCATTACAGTAGGTTATAAATTAAAGCTGCATTCATTGATT